AACTATGTCAATAATCACTTTAAATGCCAATTGTCTAAATGCCATCAGTTATCACACAGACTGTCAGACGGATCAAAATATAAGACCCAACTATATGTTGTCCACAAGAAGCCCACTTTAAATGTAAACATAAAGACACACATAGATTAAAAGTAAACAGGTACCAGAGTGGAAGACAAACCAGAGTGGAAGAAAATATTTGCAAAAGACACATGTGATAAAGGACCATATTCATAATATAGGAAGAACTCTTAAAATCCAATTACAAGGGTCGCCTGGGTGGCTCAGTCGGTCGAATGTCCGACCTCGGCTCAGGTCATGATCTCATGGTCCGTGGGTTCGAGCCCTGCGTCGGGCTCTGTGCTGACAGCTCAGAGCCTGGAGCCTGCTTTGGATTCTGTGTCTCCCTCTCTCTCTTCCCCTCCCTTCCTTGTGCTCTGTCTCTCACTGCTTCTCAAAAATAAACATTAAAAAAAATCCAATTACAAAGGCCAGCCAAAGAAATTGGCACAGAACTAAGCCTTACCAAAACAGATGTAGAGATGGCAAATAAGCAAAGGAAATGTCCCCCTTCATATGCCATCAGGGAAATCCAAAAATTAAAATGAAATACCACTACACTTCTATTAGAATGGCCCCATCTGAAACAGTGACCCCAAATGCTGGTCAGGATGTGGAACAATAGGAACTCTCAAACCCTACCAGAGGAGAAGCAAAGTAGTACAGCCACTTTGGAAGACAGTTTAATGGTTTTTTACAAGACTAAACGTACTTGTACATACAATCCACCAACCATGCTTCTTGGTATTTACCCAAAGGAGTTGGTAACTGCCAAGACTTGGGCTCAGCCTACTGAATACTACAGTAGATAAATGGATACGCTGTGGTATATGAACTATCAAGCCATGAAAGAAACTTAAATGCATATTAAGTGAAAGAAGCCAATTTGAAAAGGTACATTTTACATTTCAACCACACAATGTTCTGAAAAAGGCAAAACTATAGAAGCTGTGGAGATCAGTGGTTGCCAGGCACTGGGGGTGGAATAAACAGGTGGAACACAGGATTTCTAGGGATATAAAATACTGTATATAATGATGGATACATATTACACATTTGTCCAAACCCAGAAAAAGTATACCAAGAGTGAATTCTGATGTAAACTTGGATTTGGGGTGATTATGTATCTATAAAGGTTTGTCAAATGCAACAAACGTTACCGCGCTGGCAGGGAATGTTAATAATGGGAGATGCTAGGTATGCATGGGAGTCTTTCCTTAACTTTTCTGTAAGTTAAAACTGCTCTGAAACAAAGTCTCAAAAAAATGTAAATGGAGAAAGATACACCATTGTAACACTAATCAAAGGAAGCAGGAGTGGCTGTATTGGTTTCAGATAGAGTAGACTTCAAAACAAGGGAAATTATCAGGGATAAAGATAAATGATAAAGGATCAGTCATACAAGACAGCTGTTACCACATATACACCTAAAACATGTGTCAAACTACAGGAGATGAGGCAAAAACTGACAGATATGTAAGGAGAAATCGATGAATCCTCTATGGCTGGAGACTTCCAACACTTCTCTGTGACTGATTCAGCAGGCAGAACACCAGTAAGAAAAGAGCTGAGATCAACTGGATTTTATTGACATCTATAGACAACTTTACCCAGAACAGAAGAAACATTCTTTTCAAGCTTACATGGAACATTCACCAAGACATTCTTGCCTATAAAATACACCTGAACAAATTTAAAAGAACAGAAATCCTATATATCTGCATTCAGAACACAATGGAATTCTGTAAGAAATGAAAAGCAAAAACATAGCTGGAAAATCCTCACTTGACACACTTCTAAATAATACGAGTCAAAGAAGAAATCTTATTAGAGGATTTAAAAAATACTTTAAACAGTGAAAATAAAAACTTATCAAAACCTGTGGGATACACTGAAAGAAGTGCTTAGAGGGGAAATTCACAGCACTGAATTCATTAGAAAAGATTGAAAATCAATCATCTACACTTCCACTCTTAGGAAACTAGAAAAGAGGAGCAAATTAAAACAAAGCATAAGAAATAATAATCAGCAGATATCGATAAAAATAAACCAATAAAACAGATTAAACAAAAAGCTGGTTCTGTGAAAAGGTAAAATGGATAATCCTCTAACCACACTTAAGGAAAATAAAGACACATATCACTAAAATCAGAAAAAGGGGACATCACTATAGATCTTATGGACTTTTAAAATAAAGTCTGAGGGGCGCCTGGCTGGCTCAGTTGGTTAAACATCTAAGGCTCAGGTCATGATCTCATGGCTTGTGAACTGGAGCCCCACATTGGTCTGTATGCTGACAGCTCAGAGCCCAGAGTGTGCTTCAGATTCTGCCTCCATCTCTCTGCCCCTCCCCCACTCACACCATCTCATTCTCTCTTCAAAAATAAACATTAAAAAGTAATGATCCCAGGGGTGCCTCATTGGCTCAGTTAGTAGAGCACGTGACTCAATCTTTGGATCATGAGTTCAAGCCCCAAACTAGGTGTAGAGATTATTCAAAAATAAGATCCTTAAGGGGCACCTGGGTGGCTTAGTCGGTTAAGCGTCCGACTTTCGCTTAGGTCATGATCTTGTGGTTCGTGGGTTCGAGTCCTGCGTCGGGCCCTGTGCTGACTGCCAGCTCAGAGCCTGGAGCCTGTTTCGGTCTGTGACTCCCTCTCTCTCTGACCCTCCCCTGCTCACGCTGTCTCTCTCTCTCTCCTAGAAATAAATAAAACATTAAAAAAAAATAAGATCCTTAAAAAAGTCTGACCCCAATAAATGATCTGAAAGTGATTATTAATTATGACTACATGAGGTAGTTCTACACATACGTTAAAGAACACTGGAAGTCTCAGTTAATGAGACATGAATATTCTGGAAAACTGAAGGAACATTTCACTTGTATTTTCAACAGAGAATATTTAAGGTGAAGGGGAAAAATTCATGTGAACAGAAATACGTTAACAAAATACCAAGACATTACATCACAGGAAAGCAACTCAATAAGTTAGACAAAGGACAATGGGTAATATTATGCCTACCACCCTCCCCAAAAGCTTATTGGTCAGGATAGAAAACATAATGGTTCCATCATCAACTCCAATGCTGCTGCTCATCAGCCTTTAAGAGAACCACAATTCTTCTTCAGTTTTCCTATTAACATACTTAACAATTACTTGACAGAATACTTTTTAATCTAGGGATATAATCAACTGTTTTGTATTAATAGGGGAGGTCACAGAGACCTCTTATTGATTGACCAACACTAAGTTTAACATTAGTGTGAACAGTAAGCATTGAATCTTGATGGTGTCAAGTACTTCTTAAGAGTACTGAGCATGTGAAAAAGTTGGGACAGTGATAGTGACTTTGTAAGTTAATATCGTTTGCAAAGAATGTTAAAACACAGGGTAAGGCATTATGGGGGTTATTTCTCAATTTATACTTTTTCCCAAAGAATTTACTTAGCCTATTTGGGGGGAAAAAAGGAACTTTTCAATTTGACTTAAAAAATTACCACCACTGGGACTGAAGAAAAAGCAATATAATTTCTTAGGGTAAAAAACATGCCAAGTTACCAAGTTAATGTTTTCTTTAAAAAAAAAAAGTAATCTTACAAATCTAATACATTTGGTGAAAATTAAGCAATTTTAGTTTCTTAATGCAATCATTTACAACAAGGATAGTAAAAGTTGCTTTACATCACAAATAAGATTATTATGGATTGTCTTTATTCCTTTTTCAGAATCTGTGAAAGCATCCTGAACTTGTTTTAAAAATTAACAGTGACTTAATTATGATAATGGTGAACCATTAGAAATTTAGTATCTCTAGTTGAACCCCATGAACTACACATACTACACCATATCTTAGTTTTATCCAAAATGAAAGAATACCTTTCTTATTCAGAGAGAATGGAGAATTCATTCAGTGGGCTAAGAAAGTTGTACTTTTATCAAGTGACCGATGTTAAACACACACTTTACCCCAGTAACCTGTATGACAATCATCAAGCATTTAATTCTAATTTCCTTTCACTTGGTTCCGCACTTTATTATTCAAAAATATATTTTACTAGCATGTATTTGGTTTGAAAATAAAATTTCAATCCACAAATTTATCTGAATCTATACAAGCCACTAAGAACTTTTTTAAAAAGGTTTATAAAATACATAAAACAGTATAGACAAAAACTAAGTCATAAGGTTACCAAGTTGAGTCCTTAATAACAATAGATGTAGTTAACAAAGTATATATACCTTTACTGCCTTATTAACAAAAAATTAGTCACACTCAGCTCTCTGCAGTTCTGAAATACGTGAAGACAAAAAGGAAAGTGCTTGTGACTCTTCTACACAGGAGAGCAGCACTGCTAACAGTCTGCAGTCTGCCATGCAAACAGCACTTACATTTTTTAAAAGCTAACATCAGGGGCACCTGGGTGGCTCAGTTGGTTAAGCGTCCGACTTCGGCTCAGGTCATGATCCCACGGTTCGTGGGTTTGAGCCCTGTGTTGGGCTCTGTGGTGATCTCTATCTAGCTCAGAGCCTGGAGCCTGCTTCAGATTCTGTATCTTCCTCTCTCTCTGACCCTCCCCTGCTCATGCAGTCTCTCTTTCTCTCTCTCTCAGAAATAAATAAAACATTAAAAAAAAAAAAAGCTATCAGTTGTGAAACAAACACATGCATACATGCTTTTTGGGCAGTTCATTTTATTACAGCTTTTGCCTCTGAGTTTAGAAATGTACAATGTCAAACTCTAAAAGAAGCTAAAATTTTGAAGTTGCTCCCCACCACTCTGTTATATACATGATAGCAACCTGTATTTTATTTCCAATGTAAACAATTAGTAAATTCACTGAGGCCTCTATTATTGTTCACAAAATATATGCAAATAAACTTCATTAAATAAGAAAATCCATTTCAAACATCTTGAAGACTCAAAAAGAACACACACAATTACATATTTTTATCATTTTATTAGGAAGAATTCCAAATGGGTTATGAAGAAAACTTACTGAGTTTGATGAGTTTTCCAAAAACTCTTAATGAAGATATGTTCACCAATAAACAATAAAACATCAGCAGAACTATCATATACTGGGCAAAGAGTCAGGCTGATACCAAAAAGCAACATGCAACATAAAAAAGACACAATATAAAGGAAGACAATCTGCTGGGTATTAAAAAATCATTTCAATATGAACTCTTTGCAACCAGCACAGAACTAATTAGCTATCAAATCCAAACCACACTAAGGTAAGCTTGGCTGATGAAAAGCCAGGATTCAATAATGGGGAGAAAACAGAAGCTCCTCAGTGCAAGAGATCTGAATAGTGTTTTAGAGCATTTCCCTGGCTGGTACAAGCAGTATTAGAAAATCTTTTTGGCAAGGGAGAAAAATAAATACAAATGGAATGCTACATTTTTTTTAAATCAGCAGACTGTCCCAGGAATGATAAAGGTATCAGTTAAGTAGCAAGGGGATAACTTTAAAACGTTATTTCTTGTGGGCTCGAAAAACATTCAAAAACGGGTTTATTTAAAGGTGTCACAATTGCTATGTCCAGGCATTTAGGCTTAAGGGAAGTAAAATTAAAAGAGGACACTTTTTTCCCAAGTTAAGGAGAATTTCTCTAAAACCAAGCATATTGCTAAAAAGCAATATTATACTTGGCAAACAATAATTGGCAACAAAATAAGTTTAAACGCTGTAATATTCTGCCCAAACCAGTCCCAGATACTGTTTAATAACCAAGATGCAAACTAATTTTGTTGTAACAAGCCTAGACCAATTCTATCAAATGTGTCCTTGGTTAGATATCCAGTTTCATTTAACGTTTTGAAAGCTCATTTGACAGCCAGTCAAGTCCCTCATACAGACCAGTTCCTTGTGTAGCACAAGTGGCTTGAACATACCACTGTAGAGAAAGAACAAGAAAGTACGTGATTAACAGAAGACTATATATAACCACAGTCTTTAGAATTTCTTAATCAGAAGATTAAATACTTGCTCCCAACTGTCCAAAGTATTATTTAGTCAGCAGTTACCATAAATATATAGGAAAAAAGAACTATATAAAACAACAGGAAGAACGACATAAATTTGTTGAAGTTTGGATCTCACAAATGATTAATTTTATAATGATTTCACTGACTATACAGATTCGGAGTGTTCTAATACATGCTTCTCACAAACTCGTGCCACATTTAAATCTACTCTTATTGATCCATTAGATTGAATCAATGATCTATACTCCTTAATCCGAAAAGAACATTCATAGGAAGATTAGTAACTAAATACCCATCAGGTCCTTATAACCCTCTTATTTCCCATAAAACTAAGTATAGAGTACAGAAGGCAAATTTTCAAAAAAAGTAGGAGCTGCTGATAGAGGAAGGCTTTTCAGATAATTTCACTATCTGTAATTTCAAGCATTCCAAAAAGTTTCACTTTTTAAAATGGTAATGAATCATATCTCAATAATTGCACGAAATAACATGAAAAGCTAACAAAGAGCAAGAAAAAGATCTAGAAAGCAATTTAATTACCTTGAGGGATAGTTTCTTTTTAATATTTTTCTTCACTGACTAGTTTTATTCTGTCTTACAATAAAGACTTGACTTTATTATTGCAAGGTCAATGCAAGTATACTGTGCTACCAATTATTATTTGAATACCAAACACCCAGTAACCTAGAAGGCTGGGAAAAGGCACAAATTCTTATCTTCACAGAACTGGAAACTGGTAGCATTTACAGTTTATCTTGTTTAAATCATCCTGGGACATCTCAAACTATATAGTTACTGCCATAACACACTATTTACCTTGTTGACAACTTCGTAAAAACCTCGTAAAACACAAGTCACACTAAAGTTTGTGATATCTTTGTATATAAAACAGTACATTGTGTTTTCCCAGTATTTAAATTGCTGACCTAAACAAGCTATTGGAGACCAAGTATAATATTTCTCACAATTTTAATTTTTTTTTAAGTTTATTTATTTTTGAGAGACAGAATAGGGGGGTTGGGGCAGAGAGAGAGCGGGGGAGACACAGAATCCGAAGCAGGCTCCAGGCTCTGAGAGGATCAGCACAGAACCCAACACAGGGCTTGAACCCATCAACCACGAGATCATGATCTGAGCCAAAGTCAGACACCCCTCTTATAATTTTAAATTCAAAATTTGTTTAATGTCATAATTATAGTTCACAAGCTTTGGATGTTAACAGGCAAACAGTATAAAATAATATTATGTAAAATATGGTTGCTAAATATTGCAGTTTTAATAAGAAAACCAAATTACAGGGGCGCCTGGGTGGCTTAGTCGGTTAAGCGTCCAACTGACTTTCGCTTAGGTCATGATCTCGCAGTTCGTGGGTTCGAGCCCTGCGTCGGGCTCTGTGCTGACTGCCAGCTCAGAGCCTGGAGCCTGTTTCAGTCTGTGACTCCCTCTCTCTCTGACACTCCCCTGCTCACGCTGTCTTTCTCCTAGAAATGAATAAAACATTAAAAAAAAAAATTTAAAATTAGGGGCTCCTGGGTGGCTTAGTCAGTTAAGCGTCTGACTTCAGCTCAGGTTATGATCTTACAATTCATGGGTTCGAGCCCCGCCCCGAATCGGGCTCTGTGCTGACAGCTCAGAGCCTGGAGCCTGCTTCGGATTCTGTGTCTCCCTCTCTCTCTGACCCTCCCCTGCTCACGCTGTCTCTCTCTCTCAGAAATAAATAAAACATTAAAAAAATTAAAATTAAATTAACAATATCAATAATCCTTATATAATTCTCATAAAGTACAATTTTCCATATCTTTATCAATACTAAATGTTTTGAGGGTAAAGTGAATACAAATTAAATCAAATAAAGGTATCAAAACATTTGGATTCTTAAGGGATAAATATTAAATGTTTAAAAAAGGAGAAGATATTAAGGTAGTTTAAAACTGAACACACATTTATAAAAACCTGAAAGGACTCATGTCTGTAAGCAAGACTATATTACTGTACTATTTCAAATGATGTACTTATTATCTATTCAAAAGGAACAATTACTTAGTATGTATTTAAATTGAATACTTGCTTAAACAATTATACTATTACTTCTGAAAGTCATGAGGTTAATATGAATCTCCAAATACTTACTGTTCTGTTACGAAGAGACTGAAGACCTAATTTATCTGTCATTTCACTGATGGCCATAGCATTTGGCAAATCCTGTTTGTTTGCAAAAAGCAGCAACACTGCATCTTGCAACTCATCTTCCTGAAGCTGGAAATAAAAGCTAACAGGTTAACAACTAACAAACTGGAACTCAATTATTGTTACAAATGAGGGAAAATACTGTCTTCCTGTGTATATCACTTATTCAACATTAAGCACATTATTAAACATCAACCTAATTTCACTACATGAAGTTCAGACACTCTTAGAACTTAAACCTCATATCCTTCAATTTTTTAAATCCCCAGCAAATAATTATACACCTTTCAAATAAAGCAAAACTATTTTTCAAGGCAATCAGCCTGCACTCCTTTAAAGTAAATCATTCATTTCAGCTTTCATGATCATCCATTAAGAGTCAGGATTGGCAAGGACAAGAAACATACAGGAATACGTATTTATGGCAGAATCTTATGGTACTCAGTAGTAAAGGTATTTAGAGGATTCTTTTTGAACTTGTATTCCTTTCTAGCCAGCTGGACCATACAATAGTGGGACAACAAAACAATTATTAGGGTATTAGCAGTATTATGAAAAATACAAGAACACAAGAGTATATTATAATAAGAAATAATGCAAGAGTAAATCATAATATAATTAATAAATAAAAGTACACAGTAGAAGCTGGCAGGCATGAGTACTGACACATGACACAGCAGGGACAAGCCTTGAAAACTTATGCTAAGTGAAAAGTAACAAAAAGTTAAAAAAGACCACGTACTGTATGATTCTATTTGTATGAATGTCTAGAATAGGCATATATATACATGTGTGTATATATATATATATATAAAGTATATATGTATGTGTATATATATGTATATATGTGTGTATATATATATATATATATATATAGTAAATTAGTGGTTGCAACAGTTGGGGGTATGGGGTGGAGTGGGGTGGAGTAGGGGAAGGAATGTGGAATAGTTCTAGAGAATGGCTTTCTAGGTCAATGACAATGTTCTAAAATTAGACTGTGGTAATGTTTGCATAATTCTGTATAATAAAACCAGTAACTTACACATTTTAAATGCGTGAAGTTTATTGTATATGAATTGTATCTTGATAAAGCTTTTTACAAAAAAGAGTAGAAGGGGTGATAGTTATCTCATCAGACAAACTACCAGTGACTTAGTTATACATCTACTGGCACAATGGCTTTACAAAATGCACTACAGTCTTAGAAGTAATGAATGAGAATTAAGATGTCACTTCAGTAAATATTTTATGGCTATACAAGTTTGAAACCATGACAAGGTGCCTCTCTAGCAAGATTCCTTAACAAGCTTTCACTATATAAATACAGCTGACCCTTGAATAAATTGGGTTTCAACTGTGTAGGTCAATTTATACGTGGATTTTTTTGCAGTACATTACTGTAAATGCATTTTCTCTTCCTTACAATTTTCTTAATAACATTTTTTATCTAGCTTACTTTATTGTAAAAATATGGTATACAATAAATACAATAGGTGAAATGTGTTAACTTATTGGTCAACAGTAGGCTATTACTATACTACTAGTTAAGTTTTTTTGTGTGGGAGATAAATCTAAAATGAGATTTAGTTCAATAAAATACAACTGATAGTTAGAAAAAGAATCAAGATGTGGGTGTATCATTTTCTAATTTTTCTAATATTTTAGTTGACTGGCAAATGCACAGAAACATTCCAAATTAGAGTTGGGACTGCCAAGAGTATTGCAGGAAAAAGGTCCATGTTCAGCAGAAAGCTGGATTATAGGTCTTTTGGGACCCTCCCAATGCTGAGATTTTCAGATTCTTTTAGAGTATGCCAGTCACTTTAAATATATTTAAAACAACAGATTCCATGTTATAGTGTGAGGCTACAAAAAAACTGCAGGTATTAGAATAGTTCTGAAAACACTAAAAAAAAAACTACTTGAAATTTGCTATTTAAATGACCTATCAAAGACTGAAACAAAAACTGACACAATGGGATTCTTATTAGATCACGGGGAAATTCTTCTCAAGCTGCAGAACAGGTTCCTTAAAGTAAAATCCTTTGCCCAATTGGCTTTACTCCCTAAATGAGGTTTTGGATCACATGTAGAATAAGTGCATATCTCTAATTTGTAGGCTTTGTTGGATTGGCTTTATCTTGCCTGAATTTTCCATATTGTCCAAATCAACTATTTACTCTTTTCAGTCTGTATTATTTTTTTCAGTCTGTATTTTTAAAAGTTTACTTTCTGAAGTTTAATTGTAATCTCTTCTTTCCAACATCAACAGTTTTTCCTCCAAATCACAAGATTCTTGGTAGGATTTCATTATTAATTTAGCTTTAAAACAGATTTCATATGATCCATGAACACACTTAGGGTTAATTTTCTCCAGATTTTTTTAAGTGCAGTCAAAAGTTGCATCCTGTCTAATGCAAGCTTTTTCATTTCAAAAGCAATTTTCCAGGTCCTCAATTTTAGCTTCAATTTGCTTATCTTGCATGATTTGCTCTGCTGGAGTTTTGGGTTTTGGTTTTTTTTTTTTCCCTTTACATCAACCATTGATTTATATTCCAAGAGTTGTTTTGTCTGTGCTTGCAGCCTGAGCAGCAGGGTTGAGCAGTCCTTGGTCCTCAGGCTGCACCACCTGGGCACCCATGGCCTGTGCTGCCCACCTTCCCCACCCCGCCTCCTGCTCCAGAGTCCGAGGGCTTGGCGGCCGCTTTGCTCTTCAGGCTGCTTCTCCACTGTGACTGGCACAAAGAGCCACCTGGGATGGGAAGATGCGGCCTAAGAAGCCAACATTCCCGCCACTAAATTATAGCCCAGGAAAGCAACAGTTAAGTTTTTGAGTATTCAAAAGTTGTATGTGGATTTTCAACTGTACCCAGCTGTACACATGGTTGGGTGGGGCTTGAGCTGGCATCCCTAATTCCCATGTTGCTCCAGGGTCAACTGTATATGAAAACAATCTGATACCTGGCAAAGCCAAAATACCATCATCAACCGAAATGCTACTACCTTCAGGTGGAATTCTTTATCATGGCTGCTATTACAAAACATTTCAAAGTATAGGTTATACAGGAATAGCACAGAGAAAACCGAACCCAATGACCTTGGGAATAAGGGATTTGAAGATTCTTATATCACAAAAGTTTCAAAACCATAGATTTTTTTTATCCATTAAATAAAGGACTGGACTAATGGAGACATCCTCAACCAGAGGAGCATGTCACCCATGGAACATTAAAAAGCTGAGCCTTCTTCCCATCTTAATGAAGTAGCTACTCTTCTTGTGTGTTTTTTAAAAAGCTCTGTAAGAGATTTTTATGTGCATGGTTTTTCCTAGCCCTAAAAAAATTCACTGCTATTATTTAATCACAGTAAGGTACCAACCACTAACAATACTGCGGTCACCCTGAAAAACACATCTTGCAAACAATAAACTTAAAAAATACTCTTACCATTTTCTGCAGCTCTTCCGCTCCTTCCTGAATTCTTTCACGATCATTACTATCTACCACAAAAATAAGACCCTAGGGAAAAATTGTGTAAATAAATGGTAGCAGTTAACTTTATTTTTTTTTTATTATTTTTTTTTTTAAAATTTTTTTTTTTTTTTATGTTTTATTTATTTCTAAGAGAGAGAGAGAGACAGTGTGAGCAGGGGAGGGTCAGAGAGAGAGGGAGTCACAGACTGAAACAGGCTCCAGGCTCTGAGCTGGCAGTCAGCACAGAGCCCGACGCGGGGCTCGAACCCACGAACCGCGAGATCATGACCTAAGTGAAAGTCGGATGCTTAACCGACTAAGCCACCCAGGCGCCCCGGTAGCAGTTAACTTTAAAGGAGACACTAAATATAAAACAAGTACAAGCAGAAAAACTATATTTAGTTCAATGTTAAGGAAGACAAGGTCTCCTTATTAAAAGAAAAAGGAATAGGACCCTAACTAAAAATAGATATGAGCACTATTTGTGATTTTAACTTACATTATTAAAAAAAAAAATCTTGGGGCCCTGGGTGGCTCAACCAGTTGGTTAAGCGTCCAACTTTGGCTCAGGTCATGATCTCCTGGTTCTTGGGTTCAAGCTCTGCATTTGGCTCTGCACTGATAGCTCGAAGCTTGGAGTCTGCTTTGGATTCTGTATCTGCCCTTCCTCTCTCTCTCTGCCCCTCCCCTGCTGGTGTTCTCTTTCAAAAATAAACATTCAAAAAAATAATAAAATAAAAATCTTACTCTTAAACAAATGATCACTTTTCTCAACTACACTAAGGATAAATTTTATCCCTCTTCCCTTAGGCAGGAAAGCATAGGTGGGAGTAAAGATAAAAGAATAAACCAAAGACTAAATATCCATGAATTTACTAACTGAAATTAGCTTATTCAGTCAAAGGCAAGCATAAAGTGTTTAAAAAAAAGTAAGAGGGGGAAAGGGGACCCTACAACTTTGTGGGGTTTTTTTTTTTTTTTTTTTTGAAAATTTATTTATTTTTGAGAGACAGAGAAAGAGCACGAGCAGGGGAAAAGCAGAGAGGGAGACACAGAATTCCAAGTAGGCTCCAGGATCTGAGCTGTCAACAGACATGAGGCTCGAACTCAAACTGCGAGATCACAACCTGAGCTGAAGTCAGATGCTTAACCAAGTAAGCCACTTCGGCACCCCTACAGTTTTTATAGGCTTCTTAGGGAAAAGTCAGTTCTGTTCCAGACTGTTGCTAACTTGATTAAATAATACTTTTTTTTTTTTTTTTAAGTTAAGCTTTAGGCTCAACGTGGGGCTTGAACTCATGTCCCTGAGCTCCTGAGTCCCACAGACTGAGTTGGCCAGGTGCCTCCAGACGTGAAATTCTTTTTAATTTTTTAAAAATTTTTATTTATTTTTGAGAAAGAGTGAATGAGTGTACATGAGAGCGGGGATGGAAAGAGAGAGTTGGGGGGACAGAGGATCTGAAAAGGGCTTAATGCTGACAGCAGAGAGCCCGATGTGGGGCTTGAACCCACAAACCACAAAACCATGACCTGAGCCAAAGTTGGACACTTAACCAACTAAGCCAGTCAGGTGCCCTGATAAGAAATCCTTAACAGATGGGGCGCCTGGGTGGCTCAGTCGGTTTAGCATCTGACTTCGGCTCAGGTCATGATCTCACGGTTTGTGGGTTCAAGCCCCATGTCAGGCCCTGTGCTGCCAGCTCAGAGCCTGGAGCCTGCTTTGGATTCTGTGTCTCCCTCTCTCTCTGACCCTCCCCTGTTCATGCTGTCTCTCTGTCTCTCTCTCTCTCTCTAAGGAAGGAAGGAAGGAAGGAAGGAAGGAAGGAAGGAAGGAAGGAAGGAAGGAAGGAAGGAAGAAATCCTTAACAGAAAGAAAAGTAGTAACCATTCCGATATTCACAAATATTAAAATTCTATGCCAGAAAAGAAGAATTAAGGAAACAGTTAAGACTTTTCTAAAAACTTTCAAATGGAAAAGTATAAAATTTTCAACTGGAGTGAGAGAGGGTAGATTACCTTGATAACTTTGTTAAAATCTATTCCTATTAATACTAAAGAGATTACTTCAAATATTATTCTCCCTACAACGCTAACCATTATAGTATTTATGATCACTTGTCACTGTAGCACAAACTGTCTTGCGTTTACTTATTTATGTGGGTAAGTAGATTAAATCCACTGAGAGCATAAAATCCACTTAGGGCAAGGGGCTATGTTATTTTGTATTTACCCCTCAGGACCACCACAGTACTAAGCTTGCCAGGGTTACTAAATATTTACTTTAGGCTATGGTCATTAAATAACAATTTCCTTTGGTCTAGCAAATTGCAAACCCGTTTCCTTAATCTCTGCTGGAAACCATTATTTTAAACATCCTAACCACTGAAAATACTTCTGGTGCTATGAGTGCCAGTATGGCATAATGGAAAAATAACCAAATTCAAATCAAAGACTACTTATCATATAAATTATCTAATCTTTGAACATGCCTCCTCTTTTATAAAACTATGCTGTCAACTTTATAAGCCTGTTAAATGTAACCATAGAGATACAGTAAGAATCTAGCATCGAATCGCTTATCACAGGCATTCAGGAAAGACTGTCTCCTTCTTCTATTCCAAAAGCTATTCCTTTTTAGGTTCTACCCCTTTGGAAGAGGCAATGCCTCCAAAAGGGATCCAAATTTATCTGGACTACTAACAATCCATTTCTATTGTCTTAAAACGTAGGGGCAACCCGGGTAGCTCAGCTGGTTAGGAGTGCAACTATTGATTTCTGATCAGGTTATGACCTTAGGCATTGGGTGTGGAACCTGCTTGAGATTCATTCTCTCCCTTCCTCCCTCTCCCTCTCTCTGTCCCTCTGCCTAGCCCCACCCCCGTCCTGCGCACAAGTGTGCTAATAATAGCTAAATAAAAATAAAGTAAAATAAAATGTAAAATAATGCTCTCAGTCCCAAAGTAACACCACTGGGAGAGAGAACTATTTCAGCAATAAATTCAGAGTTATTCACTTCCTGAGACAACCTAGAATCAAGACTGTAGAAAAGCTTAGATCCTAAAGATAAGTTTGGCTACAGTAAGAAAAGGTTACTTAAAAGGCCAAATGCTTACTTATTTAGAATAGCAAAATGATTTGAATTGTCTAATGAAGGAAGAGGAATTTACACAATAAACCGTGTCCTGGCTTGTTAAAAAAGTGAGAAGCATGGTTAAATGGTATTGGTTTCTTTTGTATTTTATAGCTAAAACAACTGATCAGGAATACTAGAAAAGCTGGTGCAAAAGCTTAGCTGAGATTACATCAGGTAATACATAAAACTTTCTCCTGTAGGCATGAGTTCTCAAGGAAGAAGTTCTTGGACTTTTGATTATGAGGTGATCTAAAAGGCCAGGAATGGGGGCACCTGGGTGGCTCAGTCGGTTAAGAGTCCGGCTTCGGCTCAGGTCATGATCTCACGGTTCATGGGTTCGAGCCCCACATCGGGCTCTGTGCTGACAGCCAGTTCAGAGCCTGGAGCCTGTTTCAGATTCTGTCTCCCCCTCTCTCTCTGACCTTCCCCTGCTCATGCTGTCTCTCTCTCTCAAAAATAAATAAAACATTAAAAAAAAATTTTTTTAAATAAATAAATAAAAGGCCAGGAATGAGTCTAATCTCAATTAAAAACTCTAAAGTAAGTTACAAAGCATTGTAAACAAATCTAGGATGAGATTAGGGTTACTCTTGGTCAAGAATAACAAATTAAGGATTAGCAAAGTCTTACTTCATCCCTAATTTTACTTCAAAAATGTAAATCAAAGGACTATGACTTGCTTTAAAATAATCTAAAAGATGAGGTGTATCTTAATTGAGAGGAATATCGATTAAACAATACTGGCTGTATCCTAATAATTGAAGTTACGTGAAAGAGATGTGGAAGTTTATATGCTATTCTCTATACTTTTGCATACATTTGACAATTTCCATTAATATTTTTTAAGCACATGACTCATATCAAAATAGCTTTTAAAAAAGTGTTTATTTTTGTGAGAGAGAAAGAGAGAGCAAGCAAGAGCAGGGGAGAGGCAGAGGAAGAAGGAGAGAGAATCTGAAGCAGACTCCACACTGTCAATGCAGAGCCTGACACGGGGCTCAAAGCCACAAACTGCAAGATCATGACCTGAGTCAAAATCAGAAGCCCAACCGAGCCACCCAAGCGTCCCTCAAAATAACTTTTCTAATCACAGCTAATGAACTGAAACATTCTAATTTTTAAATAAAAAAGCATGTCGTTTATTGGACATGACATGCTACTTAAACCTGGTAGTTCCAGCCACTGCCTAGGGTACTCACTGCCACCTGGTGGCAATATACCTCACTTGCATACAACGTTCTAAGAGTTGGAGACCAAGAATGACATCTGCAAATTTAACACATATGAAGGGTTTGTAACATCACACATTACTTAAAAATGTATTTATCAACTCCAGGAGTAAACAAAAACTGATGAGAAACTTCTCTTGTGGTAGACAACACAAGGGAGTTGGAACAAGTTTCAAGAGATATGCAGAACAAGAACCACCTCTCCAGTCTTATAAGTTATTCCAAGCTTCAGCTTGCTCCTATGTGAGAGGTAGACTAGAGCAGCGGTTTTCAAAAGGGAGCAAGTTTGTCCCCAAGGGATATTTTGCAATATGTGTAGATATTTTTGGTTACTGCAACTGGGTGGGGTGGGGTTTGCTACTGGCACCTAGTGGGTAGAGGACAGGGATGCTGCTAAACATCCTACAATGCAGACAGCCTCCCCTCACCCAACAATAGTTACTCTGTTAACTATTTTTAATGTTTGTTTATTTTGAGAGAGACAGAGCACGAGGAAATAAAGGGCAGAGAGAGGCAGAGAGAATGAATTCCAAGCAGGCTCCACACTGCCAGTGCAGAACCTGATGTAGGGCTTGAACCCATGAATTGTGAGATCATGGCCTTAGCTGAAACCAAGAATCAGATGCTTAACTGAGCCACCCAGGTGCCCCAAGGCCCGAAATTCTAGCAGATTCTCTGGTGGTGGTACTGATGCTGTTGGTTTGAGAAGCAGGGGCACCTGGGTGGCACAGTTGGTTAAGCGTCTGACTTCGGCTCAGGTCATGATCTCACAGTTCGTGGGTTCGAGCCCCGCATTGGGCTCTGTGCTGACAGCTAGCTCAGAGCCTGGAGCCTGCTTCAGATTCTGTATCTCTCTCTCTGACCCTCCCCTGCTCTCTCTCAGAAATAAATTAAAAACAAACAAAAAAAATTTTTTAAAAAGTTTAAGAAGCATTACTGAGACCTAGTTTATATCCCCAGAGATTCCAATTCAAGTTAATGATCAGCACTTTGGGATTGTTTTTTTTTTGAAGCTCCCCAGGTGATTCTAATGTGTAGCCAAATTTGAGAACTCCTACTCTACAAGATTACTAAGGTCTCTCTCATGCCACTATTATATATACTACATGAAAATACAAAAATACCTTATAAACCAACAAGGTAGATCTATATTAATATAATTTTTTCTTAATGTATGGGCTAAATGAAGGACTATTAATTACCCTTTACTCATTAAAAATTACAATGATAAAGTTATATAGACCTTACTTTTTAGACTAAGAACAAAACCAAGAGAACTATAGATGAGACATCTCATTCAATCTTGAGAATCACCCCCCACCTAATCTTCCAAAATACTGTTATGATGGCTATGTAAATCATCCACACTGGATAATTTAGCCTTCAAAGGCATGAGTGAGAGAGTTCACTGAAGAATATGTAAGCAGTGATAAGAATGCCAACTCACATAGTAAACACCAACACCCAGTCAAATAGTAGATATTAACAGAAACCTTAAAGCATAAAACATATAAAGAAAAGTTATACAAACTGCATAGCATTCCCTTACCTGGGTATTTTGGAAGTAATGCCTCCAGAGAGGCCTAATTTTATCCTGACCACCAACATCCCATACCGTGAAACAAATGTTCTTATATTCTACTGTTTCCACATTAAAACCTAGAAAGAAAAAAAAAGACAGTGGTGCAAAATGTCATAAAGAAAATAAACCTCTTTATTATAGAATTCTCTCAGAATTGCTTTTTTAAAGTCCTACTAATTAACAAACTTAAAAAGAACCTAAGCCAGTTATAATGATAGATATATGCCACAGGACATTTGTCCATTGAATGCACAAAACCAAAAGTGAACCCTATGGTTAACCACAGACTTTGGATGATTATAATGTGTCAATGAGGTTCATCAATTGTAACAAATGTACCACTCAAATGAGTGATGCTGATAAACGGAAAAGCTACCTACACATGAGGGTGGGGAGTATATGGGAAATCTCTGTATCTTCCTCTCAATTTTTCTGCGAACATAAAGCTGCTCTAAAGAAATAAACCATAAAAATTGTTTCAATATTAAACCATATTCTATTTCATTTTATAGCATACTATTATGATATAAATTAAAGTCATCTGTAAACTTTCTTACCAATGGTAGGAATGGTGGTGACTATCTCCCCTAACTTCAGTTTATACAGAATGGTCGTCTTGCCAGCAGCATCCAATCCAACTAGAAAAAGACATTATAGATTTTAAATCTAGACCAAAAGCACACTTGAGAATTAATTCTACAACAAATTCATAGTCTGAAAGCAAAAGTCAACTGGTCAAGGTACAAATGAGTTAGAACAGAAATTACTTCATTTCTGATCCCCAAGGGCAACACTTGCTACACAAAGCTTTTCCATTTTTCTTTCTAGACCTAGAGAGACAACATGTAGTAGGGAAAAGAAAAGAGTTTCTGGCTGACTCAGGCTCTTGTCTTCTAGATTTGCTTTGCCACAAACTAGTTAATTCCCTTTAAACAAGTCACTCTAGAAAACAAGGGGAATGAATCATTTAATATAAGATTTTTTCTAATTCAAGTTCTTATTTAATTCTATGAACTACTCTTATTTTTAAAAACACAATTTACAAACTGAATCAGAAAACACACAGAAACAAGTGAATAAAGGAGTGACCGGGTGGCTCAGTCTCTTAAGCATCCGATAGGCTCAGGTCACGATCCCAGGGTAGTGGGATCAAGTCCCGCTTGGACTCTCTCTCCCTCTGCCCCTTCCCCCACTTGCGTGCTCTCTCTAAAAAAAATAATAATAATAATAATAAATTTATTTTTAATTAAAAAATTTAAAAAGTGGGGGCTGCATGGGCGGCTCAGTCAGTTAAGCATCCAACTTCAGCTCAGGTTATGATCTCATGGTTCATGGGTTCAAGCCCCAGGTCAGGGTCTATGCTGACAGCTGAGAGCCTACAGCCTGCTTCAGATTCTGTGTATCACTCTCTCTGCCACTCCCCTACTCACACTCTCTCTCAAAAATATGATAAACGTTAAAAAACAGTGAAAAATGAAAAATTTTTAAAGTGAATAAAAATTATCTTTAAAAAATATGTAACTATGCCCTAGTATCCTTAATAATAAAGGAAGATGAGGCCAATTTTACCACTATCTATATCCATTCCTACATCAAATGCACAGAAATGAGAACAAAAAATTGATTAATTTGGGTAACTGAAAGGCCCTATCATATTCACTTCCAATGTAACTAATGACTAAATTCTGTTTTTTATTTTTTTTTCTGAGAGAGAGAGAGACAGCATGAGCAGGGGAGGGTCAGAGAGAGAGGGAGACACAGAATTCGAAGCAGGCTCCAAGCTCTGAGCCAGCTGTGAGCACAGAGCCCAACACGGGGCTCGAACCCACAAACTGTGAGATCATGACCTCAGCTAAAGTCAGACACCCAACCGACTGAGCCACCCAGGCTCCCAACTAATGTCTAAATTCTTAAAATGACTCCTTTGGGGCAGATACAAATAGGGAAGAATGTGCTTGTTTCTGAAGAAAAAAAATCCATACTGGAACAAGATGGTATATCTCTTTATTACATTGATAGTGACGAGCAAATTAAATGCTCATTCTAAGTACGAATCTCTCAAAACCTGCATATTCCCCATGGTTTGCCAAACCTTTCCAAATGGAAGGTCGGTATCTAACAACCTCATGGAATGTATCACTGTTCCAAGGATTTGCCTACCTAGATTTACACGATCACAGACTTTGAAATGAGTTCAACTGAGTATTGATTTGAGCAAGGACGCTTTTTAAATATTTAAATCAAAGCATGACTTGGCACATGAAACAAATGCTATTAAGTTGAAAAAACAAACACAGAGAAATCACCCTACTTACCTAAAATAGACTTACAGGCTGTAGGCAATTTCAGACCCCTTCTACCCATGCAACAAGCGTTTCTGTTCTGTACCCTACGGAGGTTAGCTTTGAGATCTCTCTGGACACTCAAGCAATATACATCTTCATATCCTGTGTCCTCTAATCAAACTCTATTCCCTACTTCTTCATACTGAGATATTTAGGTTTATTCTTTCCAAAAGACTATGATGCTTACTAGTCAGAGTGAGCAGCTAAGCCCTCAGTCACAGGCCTAAGACAAACCAACTGGCACCAGGAGGTGTTTTGTTTTCCGAGTATGGGATAGCATAAAAAAAAAATCCAGGAAACCTAAATCTAAAATATACACAAAGAAACAAAAATAACTGCCTTAAGTTTGACATGTTCAGTAAAAATACAGAAAATGAAGGGTAGAACAAAATGACTGTTTCCTTATTCAAAAAAGTGGTCTTGAAAGAGTAAGTACTTCCCAGGTAATTTTGTTATAAAAAAAGTTTTTAAATGTTTATTTTTGAGAGACAGATAGACACACACACACACACAGAATGCAAGTGGGGGAGGGGCAGAGAGGGAGGGAGAGACAGAATCCAAAGCAGCCTCCATGCTCTGAGCTGTCAGCACAGAGCCTGATGCGGGGCTCGAGCTCAGGAGCTGTGAGACCATGACCTGAGCCACAGTCAGATGCTTAACTGAATGAGCCACCCAGGCGCCCCTCGATGAAATTTAAAAATAAAACAAAATCCACCCTTAAGTAACTAAGTCAAAATATGATTAAACCCAAGTCAGAAGAAGTGAAACTGAGATGCTAATTAGAAAAAACACAAGGGGCACCTGGGTGGTTCAGTTGGTTAAGTGTCAGACTCTTGATCTCAGCTCAGGTCTTGATCTCAATGTTATCAGTTCAAGCCCCAACTTGGGCTTCATGCCCAACTTAAAATAATAATAATAATAATAATAATAATAATAATAATAATACATTTATTTAAAAGAAAAAAACAAACACGAGTTAGGTTTTGAGAAATACAGCACATGCCCATCCTCACTGTAAGTCAAACTGAACCTCACCCATCACTGAAACAATTTAAATCCAAAAATACTGACAAGCAATGGAAGAAACCTAAGACAAATTATGATAATATAGCTATTTTTTAAATTCTAGAAAGGCAGAGAAGTAACCTAATTTTTTTAAATGAAAATATTAGGGGCGCCTGGATGGCTCAGTTGGTTAAGCATCCAACTTCGGCTCAGCTCATGATCTCACAGTTCGTGGGTTAGAGCCCCGCGTCGGGCTCTGTGCTGACAGCTAGCTCAGAGCCTGGAGTCTGCTTCAGATTCTGTATCTCCCTCTCTCTCTGACCCTCACCTGCTCATACTGTATCTCTCTCTCGCTCTCTCTCTCTCTCAGAAGTAAAAACATTAAAATTAAAAAAATAAATGAAAATGTTATACCTGCTTGTGTATATAACTAATATTCTACTTCTAGTTAGAATTTTTTTTTTACATGATAAACATGCATTACTTTCATTAAAAAAATAAATCCCAAGTAGCAGATTTCCTTTATTAATGTTGGGCTGGTTACATTTCTTTAAGATGAATGACTACTTAAGAGCCTTGAATATATTTTGTGTAATTATTTTTAATAAAAAAAATAAGGGGGCAAGTGTTTATAAAATAGTGAACCATAAGGTTTTTAATCAAGTTATTTTAAAAATAAAAGTTGTGTGGTGCCTGGGTAGCTCAGGCAGTTAAGTGGCCAGCTCTTGGTCTCAGCTTGGGTCACGAACTCAAGGTTCATGAGATTGAGGCCCAAACTGGGCTCTGTACTGACAGTGGGGAATCTGCTTGGGATTCTCTCCCTTTCTCCCTGCCCTTCCCCATCATGTGCCATGCTCTCTCTCTCAAGATAAATAAAACTTTAAAATAATAAAATAAAAATTATAAGACAACAGTTAAATAGCTCACACCCACATGAGACTTTAAAATCACAAGAGCTTCTTTTGAGTTGCAACCAAATTAATGCTGTAATAACTGCAAACCAGAAGTTTTTAAAAAGGAGTTTCTACTGCAAGATTAAAGATGCACAATTAATATATACCATCACTGAAAACTCACTGTATAGTTCTTTACTCAAAAACATGTTGATCTAACAATTTTATGCTACTTGAGTCATTTCTTAAGTATGTATTTCCTTAATGTTGCAATGTTTGGCAATGAGATGTCTCCACAAAATGAAACCATAACCAATTCTCAACTAGTCAAGATAAGACTAATCTGTACATTCCAGTAATGCCCTCCCTCCCTTCCACCCCCATAAACAAGTTACTGTATTGAAAGATATACTGGAATTACTGGTTCTCCTTAACTGGACCTGTACTTTGACCAAAGTATTAACAGCAGCAAAACTACCCCCAAAAATCTTTGCCAATCATTAAAACATTTGTCTACTAAAATGTGGCAGCAAGAAATATTCTAAGTTAATGATGCTAGATTCCAACAATTAAAAAAAATTTTTTTTATTGTTTTCTTATTTTGAGGCAGAGAAAAACAGAACATGAGTGAGGGAGGAGCAGAAAGAGAGAGGGAGACAGAATCTGAAACAGGCTCCAGGCTCTGAGCTGTCAGCACAGGGTCCGACACGGGGCTCGAACCCATGAAACATGAAATCATGATCCGAGCCAAAGTTGGGTGCTTAACTGGCTGAGCCATCCAGGTACCTCTAGATTCCAGTGATCTTAACTTGGGGGGAAAACAATGCAGAAAAGAGACTGAGATGAAAAAAGTGTATTTCAGATAGATAAATTTTCACACAGAATAACTTCTCTTCATGTTTTCTTTTCTCTTTAAAATTTTCTACAAGAAAGCTTGAAATACAACTTTACAATTTAAAAATAATTCAAATTGAGTGCTTACTGTGTTCTGAGCACATTGGGTGGATTCCATACATTTTTATAATATAAACCTCACGACTATTCTCCATTTTTCACACACAGCATCTAAGGTTCAGAAATGTCCCCAGAATCACAGGAGTAGAACAGGTATGCAAAACCCCAGGTCTTATAGAGAAATTAGATCCCTCATACAAAGCTGATGGGAATATAAATGGTGTAGCTGTTTTGGAAAAGTTTTGTCAGTTCCTCAAAATGTTAAATATAATTATACAGAACCCAAGACAATTAAAATCATATGCCCCTACAAAAACTTGTTTTCAAATGTTCATAGCAGCATTACTCACAAGAGCCAAAATGGGGAAAGGATCAGATTTCCAGCAAATGATGAATGGATAAACAAAATGTGGTATGTCTATACTATGGAATTACTCTTCAGCCATAAAAAGGAATGAAGTACTGACACATGATCTAATATGAAATGTGAAAACACTGTATTAAGTGAAAGAAGCCACACTAAAGGACACATCATATGATAACACTATGTTAACTGTCATGGATAGACAAACCTATAGAAACTAAAAGTATATGAGTGGTTGCAGAAAGAAGTGGGGAAGAAGGGAAACAGTAACTGCTAACGGTATAGAGTTTCTTTCTGGGCTAATTAAAATGTTCTAGAATTAAGACTGGTGGTGGTGACACAAATTTGTGAATACAGTAAAACTAATGAACTGTACACTTTAAAAGTATAAATTTTACGTTATGTGATGTACACTTTAAAAGTATAAGTTCTATATTATGTGAACTGCATCTCAATTTTTTTAATTAAAGCAAAGAAAAAAAAACCCCTAAGTGTATGCCAGAGCTCTCAAAAGATATTTATATATTGCCATCCTGACTTCAGGTTTCTCTGATGGACACACTGCATTTTAAAAGTTAATAATCCCTCAGAGGTCTGACCATCAAACCTGAAAGTGAAGCCACCAGGTAAAAATATATATAAGCTTAGGTTTTACTTCTAGCAAATAGATCAGAAATATCTGTACTTTGATCTATGTGTTAATTAGCAGCATATTATCAGTCTGAAATCCATTTGCAATAGTGCCAGAGGGTACATCTAAAAATTGTTCTATCAACTTCTAGTGGCATCAAACTAAAGACTTTTTGCCTCTTCTGTTTCTTTAAATACATAACTAATCAAAAGGGCTTTTTTTAAAAATTTATATATATATATATATTTTAATTTCTAGGAAAGAGAGAGAGAGAGACAGCGTGAGCAGGGGAGGGTCAGAGAGAGAGGGAGTCACAGACTGAAACAGGCTCCAGGCTCCGAGCTGGCAGTCAGCACAGAGCCCGACGCGGGGCTCGAACCCACGAACCGCGAGATCATGACCTAAGCGAAAGTCGGACGCTCAACCGATTAAGCCACCCAGGCGCCCCAGGGTTTTTTTTTTTTTTTTTAAAGGCTGGCAACTATGTGTTCAACCAATGACCTCAGAAAATGCTCATAATATGTTAGGTCAAAAAGAGAGAACACAAATATCCTATTAAAAGCCTAAGAGAAGAGGCGCCTGGGTGGCTCAGTCGGTTAAGCGTCCAAGTTCCGCTCAGGTCATGATCACACGGTTCGTGGGTTTGAGCCCTGGATCCAGCTCTGTGCTGACAGCTAGCTCAGAGCCTGGAGCCTCCTTCAGGTTCTGTATCTCCCCCTCTCTCTGACCCTCCCTTGCTCACACTATCTCTCTCTCAGGAATAAATAAAAAACATTAAAAAAAATTTTTTAAATAAAATCCTGAGAGTAAATATTAACAATAGTAAAATGGTAGAATTATAGTTAACTATCATTTTATTCTTTTTTCGTACTTTTAAAATTTAACAAAAAGGACGTATTATTTTTATTTATTTTTTAATGTTTATTTTTGAGAGAAAGAGAGAGCATGAGCAGGGGAGGAGCAGAGAGAAAGGGAGACACAGAATCCAAAGCAGGCTCCAGGCTCTGAGCTGTCACCACAGAGCCCTATGCGGGGCTTGAACTCACGAACTGTGAGATATGACCTGAGCCACAGTCAGATGCTCAACTGAATAAGCCACCCAGGTACGCCAGGACATTTTATTTTTAGATTGAGGACAAAAAATTAAAAATCACATAATAATTATATTTACAAAAAATGCTAGGGAAAAAGCATGAAATGCCACTCTTTGGCTTGAAGCTTCATTTAAAATACTAGTAACATTTTTCAAATTGGCAAATAGAGTAACCTCTCTACCCCGCCTCCCCCAAAACAGTCACACATAAGGCAATACAGAATTATACTGTAATTAGCAATCTTTTAGAAAGCAACTTTTTTCCAGCTTTTCAACAAACAAATACTTTCAAGTTCAAAGAGGGTAGAATTAATTATTCCTCTACAGAACCTACATTAGTGGTTTCCAATGTAAACAAAACTTGGGGAGTCATTTACAAAATTACATCTTATCACAGACCAAGACACTGGAGATCAGCCTAAAAATAAGATAATGCAGGGCTACATGAGGAATCTAAGATGGAAACTGGTCATCTTTGAATTTAAGCTCAATTACATAATTCACGTGAGTGATTTCTCCAAAAAAAAGAAAGGAGACAATTTTTGTCAATCTATATTTTAAATGACATTACATTTGAAACATCGTATTGGTTTTTAATTACTTAACTACAAGCTGTAACTTCAAACATCTTTGAAAATTACTTGAACTTTCTGGGACAACAAGTGTAGGAAAAAAATTTTAAACTTCATGAGCTCACTACTACCTTTCAGTAACACTTGAAAATGAAAGTCACTGACTCAAGAAGGTATGAATTTTATGTGAGCCTTATAAAGGAAAAGGAAGCCCACATATCTGCAAGAGAACATTAACATAGGGGGGAAAAACAATCAACTCCTAATTTTTAAATTTGAATGGGGGCAAGGGACCTTAAGAGTAATTATTTATGCAGACACTCATAAAGCTGGACCAAAAAAAAAAAAAAATCATTTATCAAACTTCCAAATCACCTCTTTCCCTACCCATGCACATATCTTTCTAAGGTTAGACTTCATCTGATGAGTTACTATAAAAGTTGACCTTTTGACTGAAGTGTTTTCAATTAAGTAAACCTGATTATCCCAAAATTAAAGTGCAAAACAAGTAGAGAAAACCTGAGCAATAAAACATTTAACATAAAATAAGTGAATTCCACATTATGACTTCAATCCCTTGCAAAGTTAAACACTTTTTCATTTTCTTTCAGTCATTATTTTTTAGGGGTAGGGGGAGAAATGCTCCTCTTATTATAAATTTAGGAAAGTGCTTATAGGATAATTGTTTCTCCTCCCTCTGAAACTTTTAGCCATCACAGAAAACATAGAATAAGAAACTGCAAGTTGTTTAGAATATATCTTAAGTAAAAGGACCAACGTAGTACATTTCCAGGAACATAACTACGTACTAATTAATTTCCTTAAGGAATAGCCTGGAAGTTCGTTTATCACAGTCCAAAGTCCTCCCAAGGACTTCAGGTCCTTCTTAGACTGTCAATTTTCAGCCACCTTAAAAACTTAATATGCTTGCCTTCCTTAAAAGATGATCTCTATAAATGAAATCTAAACAACTTTAATACAGAAAGTATTTTATCATCATTTTTGAACAAATTATTAACAACTGTTCCATGAATTGTGAAGAAGCTGGAATAACAGTTAAGTGAAAAAAGAACGAAGTGTGGCATGTCCTTAACCTTCATACACCTCCAATGACTGAATCTTGCTTTGGAAAACTTTTAATGGTAGTAGAACTAGAAAATAAAGCTTCCTCCCTATTGTGGAAAATAAACGTCTAACGAACCAAGTTTCAACGTTTACAGTTAGCTGAGATCCACAGAGCTTAGGTGTGATGTAGAGACTACTCACAGTTAATATGGGGGAGGGGTTGCTTACATCACCCAAGTGACATACAAGCCTCTTCTCCCTCAGCTGAAATAACTCAAAACAAAAAAGCTGGCACTGAAAAGCATTTTTTAAAGCCTATTTTCCCCAAAGAATTAAAAAAAAAAAACGCTTTGTAATTGTTATTTAGCAAGGCTACCTTACAGTTAAGTATCAGGATGTACAGTTACTGGAAATTTGTTATAGGCTTAAAAAAAATAGCTTTAAAAGATTTTTCCTATTAAACCTTAGCCAGCTAGATAAAAATCAATTTGAAAACCGAAGAGAGTAAACCAAATGTATTTAGTTTTTGAGAATGGCCAAAAGATACGGGGCCATCAGTGGGGAAGGATAAATAAATATGAAGTGGAGTCCTGCGCGAAGTTTGGCGAAGTGAGCGCTGAGGACTCCGGACTCTTCTGAAACCTTGGGTGCTCCCTGGCCCCGGCTCCGGGCCTGGTCACTTCCTGGCCCAGCCGGCCTCGGGCTCCCGGCGACCGCTCGCTCACACAGCACTGGAGTGTGCAGAGTGTGCGCACAGTGCCGAAAGGGGGAGGAGGAGGAAGGCTAGAGGAGTTCGGCCTCCCTGCGGACCGCTGTCCACACCGGAGAAGAGACCAGCCACACCGCACTCTCAGAACGGGCCTCGCCAGTGTCTTCCGGGCTTAGCGAGCCGGGAGTTCGCTTCCCCCACATCTCCGCCCGATCGGGTCCAGCTTTCAGGAAGATCGAGTAGAGAAAACCGCAGCCAGGAGCGAAGGAACCTTGCCCCGCGGCCCCGTGCGGGCCTTTTACACACCTCTGGGGCGACCGCCCACCTTTCGCCCCATTGTTCCCGGTTAAGAATTCCTCTTGACCCCGAGCCCGCCGCCCCTCCCCCACCACGACGGGCGGAGGGACACACAGGCCCCAAAGCGGCCCCAGGCACGGAGATCCGGCCTTCCCTTATCCCTACTGGGGCCTGCCCTCCGTTCTCGGCCCCTCACTCACCCATCAAAATGCGCATCTGCTTCTTGCCGAAGAGGCGGGAGAAAAGGGAGGAGATGGTGAGGCCCATGGCAATAGTGGCACTTGCGATGGGCAGGAGCAGAAGGGGTTTTGGGGCGTCCCCGGGCCTTCTCCTTTCCCTCTCCCCACAAACTGAGCGAAGGAAGACAAGCTGAGGGAGAAAGCAGGCGACAGAGACGGCTCGCTGGCCGGCGTGTCGGACGAAGCTCCAGAACAAGAATTAACGGGGCGAGGACCTGCTCGACGACTGGCGCGGCAGCTCCGGCTCTGGCGTTTTAGGCTTTGGCTATGCCACGTCACGCGGTAGCCGCGGCTACTCCGGCGGCGGCCCGGCCCCTCCAACGCGGACAGAATCGCGTCACCGCCGCCCCAACCCCCTGCGCTTCCGGTGCTGCCTGAACCACTGCGCCTGCGCACGAAAGGGATTGGCCAGCTTCGCGGACGCGATTCTCTGGCAGTTGTCTCCTCCCGGACGTGGACCGGCGGGGCGAAGCCAGTTAGCACATGCGTGCTGGGAGACGGACAAAGTCCCACCATGCCTTGGCTGGTCACTTCCAATCAGACTTCCACCCGGATAAATACTTTCAGGAGGCTGTTGTCCTTACTTCCGGAAAGGCGCCCTGTGCATTGTGGGTTAGGAAGTGAACCTGTTCTTCCTGCCTTTGGGCGACTTACTCGTAAACTGAATGCACGCTGGGGATTCCCCGGTCCACGAAACTACACGTTTCATGCGCGGAACCAGGCACTTGCGCTAGTGAAGAAGTGAAGACGGGCCCTGCATTCTCAGGAGATAAGTGGTTAAAAACTGTCGTGCAGTTAGAGGCTGTGGCCTAGCCGCATTGCCGTCCCCACTCCAGGTCGTAGTGAACATCCCTAATCCAATGCCAGGATGAGATTAGCTCCGAGACATTTTCATCGACTAGTGCAGCTTTTCAAAGAGAAACCGACATGGGGGGCGCCTGGGTGGCTCAGTTGGTTAAGCGTCCAACGTTGTCTCAGGTCACGATCTTATGGTTCATGGGCTCGAGCCCCACGTCAGGCTCAGAGCCTGGAGCCTGTTTCAGATTCTGTGCCTCCCTCTTCTCTTTGACCCTCCTCAGCTCACGCTGTCTCTCAGAAATAAAACATTAAAAAAAAAAACAACCCAACAAAGAAGGATTGCTTTTCTTTTCTTTTCTTTTTTATTTCTAGGAGAGAGAGAGAGAGAGAGAGACAGCGTGAGCAGGGGAGGGTCAGAGAGAGAGGGAGTCACAGACTGAAATAGGCTCCAGGCTCTGAGCTGGCGGTCAGCACAGAGTCCCACGCGGGGCTCGAACCGACCAACCGCGAGATCATGACCTAAGCGAAAGTCGGTTGCTTAACCGATTAAGCCACCCAGGCGCCCCAGGATTGCTTTTCTTGTATCTTTTCTCCTCCCGGACCCTGGAAAGCTTATTCCTTATGTTGAGAAAGTGGAAAGCCTCCTCACTTAAAATATATATATATTTATGATCTTGGGGGCGCTTGGGTGGCTCAGTCGGTTAAACCTCGACTTCCTTCGGACTTGTCTCAGGTCATGATGATCTGGTCTGTGGGATGGAGCTATGCTGACGGCTCAGAACCTGGAGCCTGTTTCTGATTCTGTGTCTCCCTCTCTGCCCCTCCCCACCTCGCATTCTGTCTCTCAAAAATAAATAAAAAAAATTGTTAATGTTTATAATCTTAATGTTTTCCTGATTCCAAAATTTGGTATATATCCTGTTAAAACAATTTAAAAGCATGTTCCCCATAATTTTCGCCACATCCCCATTATTTCCTCTATACCGTTAATGCAGTTCAAGATTAGGAGCTCCTTCTACCTAAACCCATACGTTGGTTAAGTCCCCATCACCAGCCCTTCAGATCTGTTTAACTCCCTTGGAAAATACTTTCTTGATCTCACTGGATGAATTAGTCTCAAAGAATCATAGCCCCTCTTCATTGTTACGATTTCACATTTAATATTGACAACCTTCTTCCCTTTTCCTCACCCTTGTCTGAAAGTGCTGAGAAGGCAGGACTCTAGTCGGTTTTTATATGTCCTTGTATTCCCTGGAGTTGGCACACCATGACACTCAAATATGGTTGAATGATAGCGGGATGGCTGAATACGCCGTTGTATACGTACTAGGTAGTACTATCACAAGTTAGAATAATACAGAATTATATATTCTAATGAAAAGGTGTCCAAGACACAGCTAGTGGAAAATACCAAATGATGACTAAGTAGTGTAAAACAACATTAAAGTGTGGGTTTCCCGTTTCTGTGTGTGTGTGTGTGTGTGTGTGTGTGTGTGTGTGTGTGTGGTGTATAAATGCAGAATAAGAATTGAAGTAGAGGGGCGCCTGGTTGGCTCAGTCGGTTGGGCGCCCACTTCGCTCAGGTCATGATCTTGCGATTCCTGAGTTGGAGCCCTGCGTCGGCTCTGTGTTGACAGCTCAGAGTCTGAAGCCTGCTTCAGATTCTGGGTCTCCGTGTCTCTGCCCCTTCCCGCTCATGCTCTTTCTCTCAAAGAATAAATAAACATTAAAAAAAAAAATTTTTTTTTTTGAAATAGAATCTGCTGTAGTGATGTGGTTACTCCTTTATCCTGTTTGGAGGGAGGAGGGTTCCTTCCCAGGAAGTGAGGGAACCTGGTTTTGGTGTAGTAGTCAAAAGAGAGCTTAATCTGTACTTTAAAATTTTTGCTTTATTGAAATATAATTTGTACATGCAATAAAACTAACCAATTTTAACTGTACAATTGTATGAATACAAACATGTATACAGTAACATAGCCAATACCATAATCATGATATCAATCATTTCTAATACCCCCAAAAGTTCCTTCTTACTCCTCTGTACTCATCTTTGTCCCTCACCTCCAGCCCTTGGCTAAACACTTATCCGTCACTATAGCTTTGCCCTTCCCCAAATTTCATATAAATGAAACCATACAGTATGTAGTCTTTTGTGTATGGTTTTTTCCCCCTAGCATAATGATTTTGAGATTGATCTGTGTTATAGTGTGTATCAAGTTTGTTCTTTTTCACTGCTGAGTGGTATTCCACTGTGTGGATATACAATTTCTTTGTTCACCAAGTGATAGGCTTTGGGTTGTTTAAAGTATTGAGCTTTAAGGAATAAGACTGAACATTTGAGTACAAGTGTTTGTATATCTGTATTTATTTATTTTTACAAGAAATCTATATCCATGCATTACTTTCATAATTTAAAAAGTAATCTTTGGGGGCGCCTGGGTGGCTTAGTTGGCTAAGCGTCCGACTTTCGCTTAGGTCATGATCTCACGGTTCGTGGGTTCGAGCCCCACGTCGGGCTCTGTGCTGACTGCCAGCTCAGAGCCTGGAACCTGTTTCAGAGTCTGTGTCTCCCTCTCTCTCTGACCCTGCCCTGCTCACGCTGTCTCTCTCTCTCTCCTAGAAATTAAAAAAAAAAAATTCTCTCTCCCTCCCTCCCTCTCCCCCTCTGCCCTTCTCCCCAGCTCACAATCTCTCTCTGAAAGAAAGAAAGAAAAGAAAACAGTACTTATAGATTTAACTTATTCTTTTTAATAGGTGCATTCCATTGTAGGTACATAAAATAACTTATTTAACTGATCTGTAAGATTATAAAACATGCATACTCTTGGATCCAAAAATTCCACTTTGAGGAATTTATGGTAATGAAAATTTCCCTCAAGTTTATTGTGTTCAAACAATGTTCATTAAATCATTGTTTGTAATGGAGAAAACTGGAAACATCAATTTAAAAAAAAAAAAAAAAAAAAGAAGTATCCTGGGCACCTGGGAGGCTCAGTCAGTTAAGTGTCTGCCTTCGGCTCAGGTCATGATCTCACGTTTCATGGGTTTGAGCCCCCGCATCGGGGTCTGTGTGACAGCTCAGAGCCTGGAGGTTGCTTCGGATTCTGTGTCTCCCTGTCTCTCTGCCCTTCTCACACTCATGCTATGTTTCTATCTCAAAAATAAATATTTAAAAAAATTTTTTAATGAATAAAACATATTTAATCACCTTTTGTTTCTTTCTCTTGCTGATCACTAGTCCAGATATTCCAATTTTGCTTTTGCTTTGCTACAATTTTATGATTTCACAATGATAAATTAAGGCAGTAGACCCATTGCCAGGATAAATATTTAATCTCTTTCTAACAGTGCTATCCTAAGAGGTTCTGTAGTTGCTTATTTCAAATGGTACGTTCTGCCTGATGGGGTTGAATAAGAAAAATCTGCAGGGTGTGAAAAAGAGTAAGATATTTCGTATTCTTGAAGGCCTGCTGAGTAAAGCTTCATTTGGTAGAACTACCCTTCAGAAGCTGTCATTTCTCAGAATGACCCTGAGCAGTCAAAAGCAAAAACTTTACTCTAGTGGATAATAAGGTAAAGCCATTTTATAGACTACAATGGATTTATTTTGCCCTTTGTAAAAATTTCCAGATATTCCAGAAATAGCATTAAGTAAGGTGAAATTAAATGTAACTAAGTACACAATATTTAAAGAGCACCAGGGAAATGCAAAGAGAAAGCAATTGGTTTTCTGGGCTCAGACTTTTAAACTCTTTAAGCAGGGTGTCTGGGTGGCTCAGTTGGCTAAACTCTTTAAGCAAGTTAATAGAAATGTTTATTAATTTCTGGTGTGAAGCAAAATACTATTTAATTTGTAATAACCTAAAGTCTATATAATTACCTGACAGATCTACACATTTTCCTAGAATTTAACTTACATGGAGTTAAAGACTGTATCTCCCTTGACAAGAACCGTACTTTGCACTGGAAATACATAAAATGAGTTGCTTAGCGGTTGAGTAACTTAAAATTGCATTTTGGAAGCTTGTTAGATTAAGTAGCCTTATGTCTGTTTGGCGTTTTATATAGAATTCCTTAAAACAATGTTCACCTGATTCTAAGGGTCTTCCCCAGCTGACTCTCTGAATTTCTCAAGACAAATGAAAATGGATCCCCTTTCTCATAACTTCTTCCAAACCTTTCTTTTTAATTTTTTAATATTTATTTTTGAGAGAAAGACAGAGTGCAAGTGAGGGAGGGGCAGTGAGAGAAGGAGACCTAGAATTTGAAGCAGTCTCCATGCTCTAAGCTGTACAACGTGGGGCTCGAACTTGTGAACCGGAAGATCATGACCTGAACCAAAGTCAGACACTTAATCGACTAAGTCACCCAGGTGCCCCACTTCTTCCAAATCTTAATCCATGTTTTTGGTTTAATTAAGCAAAATAGATAGAAAGACTTCTGATGCCCATCTCTAGCATCTAAAACCTAAAACAAAAAAACCCAAAGAACAAATGAAGATGTCAGAGTAGATTTTTCAGATTTCCATTTAAAATA